TGTCCCTTCGGTGTACGAATGTGATAATGCACTGAGTATTGTATGTATAGACCTAGAGTGCTGTATGAATGGGTAAATGAGGGCACAAATTGTAGTGTAAAGCACTTTGAGTATCTTGATAAGATAGAAAAGTGCTATACAAGTACAGTCCATTTACCTATGGTCACAAACGTTGGGTAGTGATTGAAAGAATGAGATTGCGGATATAAGCAGTTGAAATGTGTTTCTTCCGCATGGTAGCTAGACTTTCCCTTAGAGATAGAGTGAGAAGTTCAGTTATCCTGGAGAGACTCAAAGAGTAGAACTGCTGCTCCTCCACATCGAGAGAAGCCAACTGAGGTGGTTTGGGCTTCTGATAAGGATGCTTCCAGGGTGTCTCCCTAGGGAGGTGCTTTGGGCATGTCCAACTGGAAGGATACCCCAGAGAAGACCCAGGACCTGCTGGAGAAACTACATCTCTCGGATGGCGTGGGAACGCCTTGTAGTCCTCCCAGAAGAACTTGAAGAGGTAGCTGTGAAAAGAGTTGTATGGACCTCCCTGCTCAAGTTGCTGTCCCTGCGACCCGACTGCAGAACAAGCGGAAGATGACGATAATGGATGGATGGTTGGATGGATGAATATAAAGCAATGTATTTCAGGCTATCTAATGTCTTTTTGGCACTTATTACATTAAATAACACCACAATGGTTCTTTTTCTTTCTTTTTTAATTTGACCTTTCAAGATTATGTACCAGAATCTCAGGCGACTGGTTTGGATCTACAACTCCTACTTAGAAAAAGTTGGGGCATTTTTTAAAACGTAAACAAAATCAGAATGCAATGATTCCCAAATGCCATTGATATTCATATACCATGACTGTAACTGGATAAAAATCTGGATTCAAACTGGAATTATGAATTGGATGTGTATCTTTTGTACTGTAAAATGTGAGGACTTTTGTTGTGAATTAGTGTTCAATAAATACAATGAACTGAACTGAGGGTGCCACAGAGGTGCAGTATTTCGTGCTTTCACCTAACAGCAAGAATGTTGCCAATTTGCCTCACACCTGGGGCCTTTCTGGGTAGAGTTTGTCTGTTCTCACCAGATTTTCTCCGGGTACACTGGTTTCCTCCTACACATACAAGCAAGGTTAATTGGGGTAGCTCTAAACTGTCCCTAGGTGTGAGTGAGTGTGTAAATCTGATCAAGAAGCATCAGCAACTCTAGTTCTTCAGGTGGTTGAGGCGAGCTGAACTGGGAAGCTCAGTCCTCACCTCTTTTTATAGATGTGCAGTGGAGAGCATTCTGTGCTCCAGCACAGGGAGGCTGCACAGCTGCAGAAAAGAAAGCTCTGCAGAGAGTGGTGAAGGCTAAACAGAAGTCTGTTGGAGTCAGCCTCCCCACCATCACAGACATCTACACCTCCAGATGCAGGAAGAAGGTCACCTGCATCTTGAAGGATCCCACTCAACCAGCACACACACTTTTTGCCCCGCTCCCCTCAGGCAGAAGGTTGCGGAGCATTACGGTAAGTGTAGAACCACTAGACTGAGGAAGAGCTTCTATCCTGAAGCTGTTAGACTCATGAATCTCTAACCAAGTTAATCACTGTAAGAAACAAAGAAAAATCACTGTAATGTCATTTTAATTGGTGACATGTGACTTATCTGTGCTGCTGATTATCGCATGTTGCTGATCTCATGCTGCTGTATTAATTTAAAACCCATCTGCTCACCACAGACTCATGTTCGGGCTGCTGTTGATATGCCGTATTGTTCTACATTATTAGTGTTCAGTGTATATATTTTAGCATTCCGTTTGTTGTTTGTTTAGTGTATGTCTTAGCTCCTTATTTACTATTCTTTTAAAACTTTATATTTTGTTATTTTTGGGAGTATCTGGGACCCTGTGTACATAATTTTGTTCCACCTCATGTACCACATGTGGTGGAAACAATAATAAAGTTGACATTAACTTGAATGGTTGTTTGTCTCATTTGTCTCTATGTGTCCCTGTGATGGACTGGAGACCTGTCCAGGATGTGCCACGACTCTCGCATAGCGACTGCTGGAGATAAACACAAGCCAAGACTCAGAAAAGAAAAAGCAGGTAAAGAAAATGAAAGAATGGCTGGATGAGTTTACGGTAACTGAAGTTTTATTCACAATAAAACGCTGTTAAAACCATCCATTCATCCATTATCTTTACTCGTTTCTTCATTTTCGGGTCGTGGGGGTCACTGTGTGAGAGGCGGGGTACACCCTGGACAGGTCTCCAGTCCATCCAAGGGACACATAGAGACAAATGAGACAAACATCCATTCACTCTCTCACTCACACCTAGAGACAATTTAGAGTTACCAATCAGTCTAACATGCATGTTTTTGGTCTGTGGGAGGAAACCGGAATACCTGGAGAAAACCCACGCATGCACGGATAGAACATGCAAACTCCACCCAGAAAGGCCCCCGGACCGGGATTTGAATGAGGGACCTGCGCGCTGAGAGGCAGCAGCTCTACCAGTTGTGCCACCGTGCTGCCCTGAGCTAAGTTTATGAAAAACAAATTGCTGTTGTTAAGGATTGCGTTTTAAATCAGAATGGTCAAATTAAATACAGAAAACGTCAGAGCTGGCATGCACAACAGAGGTCTTACTCCCCAAATTTCGAAAGCAAGGTTTTTTTACACATCCAGAAATGGAGCAGATGCATCAAGATAATTAAATTACTTTGATAATCATTCTATATTAACATCCCAGCCCTCTGGATGGTAATCAAATTGAATCATGAGGTTTGTAAAGATTCTCACTCCTAGGCTATATGCCCTGAAAAACAAGAGAAAACGTTTCACATGAGGAGCCAGCGGATACAGATGTTTTGTCCCTGTCAATCACTGCATCAATCACATCTACATCAGGACTGCAACATGACTTCAATGTGCATATGGTGAAGCCCAACAAAAACTAGATTTCTTCAAAATACAGAAAAAATATATATATAGATATGTAGTATGTCATATAGGGATATATATTCATACATTCACGAGTTCCTCATCTTTCTGACTGTGTAAATGTCGTGCATTGAATTTTAACAGAAATGTAACGAGAGACGTTATTTATCTTTGACCCATCAAAATGAATGCGGTCATTTATTTTCAGAATCAAAGTTTAACATCAAACATTTACATTAATTTGGCAAAATATGAAAATAATAACAGACAAGTTTCACAAATAATGGACTTCAATCACACGGCGGTGATTGAGGACTTAGCTTCAGATATTTCTAAAATATCTGTACTGATTTTAGGAGAAAGGAGAGTTTAAGATGGAAATGGAGATTTATCTTACAGAGAGATTTGTGAGGGAATTAATCTGTTTGACCAGAAACGTGCATGCTCCTTCAGATCTCAGCTTGCGACGGTACACTTGGTCGAAGTAGATCGTTACCTGGTTGACGATAAATCAGCTCGGTATAGAATCCTTCAGACTCTTTCAGCGTCTCCGTTGAGAGCAGCTGAAATCCTTCGAGAGTCGTACGAGGTTGTTCAAACAGAAGTTATAATCCCAAAACGTCTCTGGATCATCCTGAACGCGTTTGCATCCAAGAACTCTAACTCCATCACTCTTCAGCACTCTGTGTGGAACTCTCAGAGCTCTGCAGCATCAGACTCTTTTTAGCTCCATTAATCTTCAGCGTCTGGCTTCAGACTTCAGACTCTGTGCACTCTCTCAGCACTCTCTAACACAAGAACCGGGAAGTTGCCACATTTTAAATGAGTTGACTTCCGGGTCAATTTAGAGCTTTCTGATTCGTGGATGAACCAGAATAGAGGTGTGGTTTGTGATGTAAGATGTTATCAAATTCGAGGTCAGAGAATGAGATTGTTCAACAACAGACAGAAAGATTATTGCAGAAAACCAGACTTCGTGGAGTCTCCCTCTTATTATCTTCTGAAAAAGTTTAAACATGACATTTCTTCTCAGTAAACATTTTAGTTGACCGAGAACCGACCTTTAACATACTTACAAAACTCGCTCATTGCAGACAGAAAAATCAAGAAATGCCTATTAACCTGATTTCTTCTTTGAATGAGGAATAAAAATCATTACTTACTGTTTATGTAAAATAAAAATGAGTAGTTCTCTTCAACCTGTAAACATTGAGTGAACTAACACAATTTGATTATCAAACATTTGTAAAATAGTAATGATCATAGAGAATTGTCTTTTCTGCTTGATTAATTCAAGAAAGAAAGTCACCAGATGGCTCAAACTGTATTTCTGGATGCAGATCAATGAAATAACAGTCTCTGTTCATCTGATGAGATTTGAGGTCAGATCAGGTTCACTACAGATATTTTATAATGCAATACAATGCTGGTATTTGAAATGCTAAAAATAATGCATATTTTTCAAAAACATTTTGTGAATGCTCATTATTTACATTAACTATATAAGAAAATCTGATTCTCGGTGTGCCAGTTTCAGATTTAAATTCCTCTGATCCAGCGTTTACTATTAGCAGGTAATAAAAGTCATATTTATAGTTAGTTATAAAATGTACTTTTGGAGAATTGAATTTAGCCTGTTGGACTGGTCTTCTGCAATCTCAGTTCCTTATGTGGCCCTTTGTGGAAATTTGTTGCCCACCTTGAATATTTTCTGGTTTTAAATAATCCTGACATCGCCTGTGCTGTATTAAAATTGCACTGATAAACAGTCTCTTTAAAAATATACTTTTCTCTCTCTTCATCATCAAACACAGGTGGTGTTTGATGACCTTCTGACCTCATGAGACCTGTTTGATAAATAAACTCACTAAACCCATTTGAGTATTTCTTGTTTAGCTCCCCCCCACACACACACACACAAAAAAAGCATTTTATTGTTTTTAGAACATTTGAGTCATAGGTGCTTCATAAATGCCCAAGTAATAAGTTGTATCAAAGTGTGATATTAATGATCTAACCTGAGTAGAGGTTACTTTGGATGAACGTTGTCCAGATGTGACTCGTTACCTGTATTCACTGTCAGGCTGCAGGCCCGTGATGAGGTGACTGGTCCCTGACTCCACAGTGATGGTTTGGTCATCCACGGTGATGATGTAGGAGGTGATCTCTGCACCGTTATTATTTGGCTCGTCCCACTTCAAGAGGAGGCTGGTAGATGGGGAGTGGCCTGACTCCGAGGAGCTCTGGAGGTCCAGGAGAGTGAGGGACAACACCTGGTCAGGATTTGTTGCCGGGGTCCGGAAGCTCACCTTGTCACTGTATGGACCAGCACCCGCCTGATTGACTGCCTGAGAATGACAGAAAGAGCAGGGTAGTGAGAGACAGAAGTCATGAGGCTGACTGACAGTGGTATGATGGATGAATTCGAGGAAGCAAAACTAAGAAACCTGATCTCAAACACAAATAACAAAGATACACAAATATGATTTAAAAAAAAGCAGAACTGATGCTAAAAGAATCAGAACAACTGATAAAAGGCAAGACAAATTTATTTGTACAGTGGTCCCTTGTTAATAGCGGGTGTTAGGGACCACGCCCACCCGCAATAAATGAAAAACTGTGAAGTAGAGAGACAGAAGTCCAAGTTCAAGTTCAGTTCGAGTTCAGTTCAAGTTCAGTAAACTTTGTCATGACAAGTGCCAGGCTGCAATCACACTCATCACCTGTTACTCACAATCTCTCTCCTTAAATAAATAATATAAATTTAAATACTGTAACATACAGTAACATTTTAAATATATTCCTCCCAGGCTCTGATCAAGGTGGCAGCTTCAGTTCCTCCTCCCTCGTTTTCCTTCTTCCTGCTCTGCTCTCTGTGTGTCTGAAGCGCCTGGGTCTCATCTCCCGAACATAAATTAAGAAGATTATGGATTTGGTACCGTGGGCGTTCAACTCTATTTATAAGATTTTTTCATCAAAACGACAAGGTCCTGGGGAACCGGCGTGTCCAGCTGAGACTCACGCTGTGGGGTACGTCATGGATTTGTGGGGTGTGTGGCAATTGATGTGCATTACAGTCCTGTCTCAGGAGGATGATGAAGATGTTTACATATTTGGATTTATGATAGCAGGGACTCTGCTTTTTGGCATCGGTGGGGCTCTGTTTTATCGACTTTTGAAGAAGACAGCGGGAGCAGTTTTGGCCATGGAAAAGCTTCCGAGTCAGTGTGAAGGTGTGGTCCTCGCTGTGGGAGCTTTAAATCATCTGGTCTACGAGCTTAACCATAAGGTGGAGGCGATTAAGAATCGCAGACCACCTGCGGCTTCTGGGACTCGTCATCATGGTGGGTTCAACCTAGAAGGAGACTCATAGTATGGATCAGTGGAATGTAATCCCACAATTAGGCATTTTCGGAACCAGAACGCCCAGATGGACTCAAGGCTGAAGAAAAAAATCTGTCTGCCTGAAGAAAAAACAAAAATCAAGCTTATCTGAATCAGACTCCCAATGGCCTTGGAGACAGGCTGATTATCAAAGTCCTCCTGGGACATGAGTACCCAAGTACAAAAGCTTCATCTATCGCAACGCCCCCCCCCCCCCCCCCACGTGTGTGTGGCAGAGAAGGAGATCAGCTGATCAGCTGCAGGAGGGAGCTTTCCCTGCACTTGTGGGCAAAATTATTTTAAATAATTTATTTTAAATAAGCAACCCATGGCTCATCCATCAATCAGCCAATTGTGTCATGTCCAAACTTATTTTGAAAAACCGCGATAAACGAATTGCGAAGGAGTGAGGGACCACTGTATTGCACATTTCAAACCAAGGGCCAACTCACGGTACTTTTCAGAAAATAAACAAGTAAAAAGAATGTAAAATGCCATATGCTTATGTATGCACACACCAAAATACAAATTTCAGTTGTTTAAAAGGCTATTAATAAAAGCAGTATTAAATAGTCTAAAATCAATTTGTTAAAAGAAATGGCGAACAGCTGTCTTTAATTTAGATTTGAGCTCCTCTGACATATTGTTCCTCATGTTAGGGGCAGAAAAACTAAAAGCAGCTTCAACAAGTTTGGTTCTGATTGGTGGAACAACTAATAACCCTGTGCTTGCTGATCTGTTAAATTCAATTCAGTTTATTTATATGGCACCAAGTTACAACAGAAGTCATCTCAGGGCACACTGAACAGAAACATTCATGTATAAAAAAACAAGTTAACATTATTTACCTGAGGCGCAGACTGCTTTGAATTTAACTCCATAACAGAACCCTCATATAAGGTCTGAGATCTGAGGTCTGAGATCTAAGATGTCTGGACTGATCAAGGTGTACAAGATGGTAAGAAAGTGTAAGAAAGGGTTAAAAATGTAGATAAAATAGCACAATGGATGCTAAAGTAGTAACGTGTTAGTTAAATGTAGAATACCAGCAAAACATTGAGAAGAAAAAAGATTATATAGTGGTGCTTGAAAGTTCTGAACATTTTATAATTTTCTATATTTCTTCATGAATATGACCTAGCACATCATCAGAATGTGTGTGTGTGTGTTACCTGTAGCCTGCAGCAGTAATCTGTGGCAGGCGTCAGATCTGACAGTTCACACTGCGTGGCGGACCCACCGTAGATGAGCTCCATGGGTTCGTCTTCCCTTGCCCACTCCAATCGATACTCTGAAATGTCTGCACCCGAACCCTCGGGGCTCTACAACACATGGAAATACAAAATTAACTTTTTGGAATCATTGACAACTTGACATTAACCTGTCCAGACCTGATGTAGTCTATAAATGCTTGAATCTTGTAGGGCTTCATTAGTCTTTTCAATACAAATGTAGAATCTCCTTATTGATTACCATCCATCCATCCATCCATCCATCCATCCATCCATCCATCCATCCATCCATCCATCCATCCATTATCTTTACCCGTTTATTCCATTTTGGGTCACGGGGGTCGCTGGTGCCCATGTCCAGCAATCACTGTGCGAGGGGCGGGGTACACCCTGGACAGGTCCATCACAGGGCCACATAGAGACAAACAACCATTCACTCTCCCACTCACACCTAGGGACAATTTAGAGTTACCAATTAGCCTAACATGCATGTTTTTGGTCTGTGGGAGGAAACCGGAGTACCCGGAGAAAACCCACGCATGCACGGAGAGAACATGCAAACTCCACCCAGAAGGCCCCTGGACCGGGGTTTGAACCAGGGACCTGTTCGCTGAGAGGCAGCAGCTCTACCAGTTGCGCCACCGTGCTGCCCCTTATTGATTACCACAAGACAAAAAAAAAAAAAAGGCAAAATAAAAAATATATATATATATTGTTCAAGGCATCATGCTCATAACATTGACAAACGGATGTACGGATGGATGGAGTGTATTTCCAATATGCACTTTTAACTTTGCAACGAGGACAAATACATGGTTAGGCCTCATTACATAGACATCATTAAAAAAATATATAAAATTTCTTCCCTTCAGATCCATGTTGCCTAGAAAAATCCACATTTTCTCTGAATTAGTCTCACCTCCCAGTTGAGCATTATGCAGGTGTTATTCGTGAGTGTGATGAGCGGCGCCCCACACTGGCCAGGAGGTCCAGCTGCAGTCGTCACCTCTGTTGTCTCAGAATACGGCCCAAACTACAACACATGTCACAATTTTTCAATGAAAAACTTGATTCTAATCTTGTACTTTGAACATCTCTTTAGACCACAAGTGTCAAGTACTTGCTGTTTCTGATGAATATAATATGAATGTTCAGTTTTGTGTCACACAGTGAAATGTGCATGGCACTTTAACACAAGCTGGACAGAATGTGCAAATTGCACTTGGCTTTCTTGCATGTATGTATGCTAGTTTTACCTTTTAATATGTGGTTTTGTTTAACCAGTCTGACTCTTGTCCACCCTTAGAGAAAGAGTTCAATCTAATTGGCTAGACGTACGTTTGTTCTGTGGAACTCTCCACCTAAACTGGGCCCTGGATAACCAGTCTGGGACAGTCTCTGGTCTCATGTCTTTGAGAGTGCAGCTACAATTTGAAATAGTGATTTTCTCTTCTCACTGAATCTTTATTAAATGTGTTTACAGTTAATCCACTCCGTGAACAGAACCCTCTGTAGTCTCACTGTGACATCTTGTCCGACCCTAAACAAACTGGAAACTGATACTTTAACTTTTCATGGTCCTGCCCAGAGTAAAATTTCAAGGTTTCACTTTCACTACAAAAAGGATAGCCCAGATTTTTTTAAATGTAGTAAAGATGAAAAGTTATGAATGATTAACAGCTTTCTCAACCGCTTCGCCCCACATTCCACTTCTCCATCTAGTCTTAACCCAACTCAAAGGAACCCTTCTTCTTTACTGTGGAATCACAAATGGCACATCTGCTGATGTTAGCAGTGGAGGTGCAGGAGTTGTTGGAGTTGTTGAATAGTCATCCTCAAGGAATCAACCCTAGCAGACTTTGTGACTTCAAAACATGAGCAATAAATGATATTTTTTTGTTGTTTCAACAGGGACTCTTACTCTGAACACAGAAAATTGGCAAGATCTACTTTTCTTCACACGTAGCCTTCTTCTTAAAGCCAAAGTTTATTTAAAAGTGACTGGGGCAAAGCTAAAAACTGATTTATAGTCGGACAAATGAAAATTTATTACATTTCTTTTTGGAAATCATGTATAGGTCCTTCTCAAAAAATTAGCATATTGTGATAAAGGTCATTATTTTCTATAATGTAATGATAAAAATGAAACTTTCATATATTTCAGATTCATTGCACACCAACTGAAATATTTCAGGTCTTTAATTGTTTTAATACTGATGATTATGGCATACAGCTCATGAAAACCCAAAATGCCTGTCCCAAAAAATTAGCACATTTCATCCCACCAATGAAAGACAAGTGTTTTTAATACAAAAAACGCTAACCTTCAAATAATCATGTTCAGTTATGCACTCAATACTTGGTCAGGAATCCTTTTGCATGAATGACTGCTTCAATGCGGCGTGGCATGGAGGCAATCAGCCTGTGGCACTGCTGAGGTGTTATGGAGGCCCAGGATGCTTCGATAGCGGCCTTAAGCTCATCCAGAGTGTTGGGTCTTGCGTCTCTCAACTTTCTCTTCACAATATCCCACAGGTTCTCTATGGGGTTCAGGTCAGGAGAGTTGGCAGGCCAATTGAGCACAGTAATACCATGGACAGTAAACCATTTACCAGTGGTTTTGGCACTGTGAGCAGGTGCCAGGTCATGCTGAAAAATGAAATCTTCATCTCCATAAAGCTTTTCAGCAGATGGAAGCATGAAGTGCTCCAAAATCTCCTGATAGCTAGCTGCATTGACCCTGCCCTTGATAAAACACAGTGGACCAACACCAGCAGATGACATGACACCCCAGTGACTGTGGAAACTTGACACTGGACCTCAAGCAATGTGAATTCTGTGTTTCCTCTCTTCCTCCAGACTCTGGGACCATGATTTCCAAAGGAAATGCAAAATTTACTGTAATCAAGAGAACATAACTTTGGACCACTAAGCAGCAGTCCCAGGCGAGATGCTTTTGACGCAGTCTCTTGTTCAAGAGTGGCTTGACCTGGGGAATGCGGCACCTGTAGCACATTTCCTGCACACGCCTGTGCACGGTGGCTCTGGATGTTTCTACTCCAGACTCAGTCCATTGCTTCCGCAGGTCCTCCAAGGTCTGGAATCGGCCCTTCTCCACAATCCTCCTCAGGGTCCGGTCACCTCTTCTCGTTGTGCAGCGTTTTCTGCCACGCTTTTCCCTTCCCACAGACTTCCCACTGAGGTGCCTTGATACAGCACTCTGGGAACAGCCTATTCGTTCAGCAATTTCTTTCTGTGTCTTACTACTTGCTTGAGGGTGTCAATGATGGCCTTCTGGACAGCAGTCAGGTCGGCAGTCTTACCCATGATTGCGGTTTTGAGTAATGAACAAGGCTGGGAGTTTTTAAAAGCCTCAGGAATCTTTTGCAGGTGTTTAGAGTTACGTCGTTGATTCAGATGGTTAGGTTAATAGCTTGTTTAGAGAACCTTTTCATGATATGCTAATTTTTTGGGACAGGCATTTTGGGTTTTCATGAGCTGTATGCCATAATCATCAGTATTAAAACAATTAAAGACCTGAAATATTTCAGTTGGTGTGCAATGAATCTGAAATATATGAAAGTTTCATTTTTATCATTACATTATGAAAAATAATGACCTTTATCACAATATGCTAATTTTTTGAGAAGGACCTGTATACCATGACCTCTGTACTAAAGTGGACAGAGTCATCCAGCTTTTGCAGGCATGAGGTGCATTAGTGCCTATGGCAGGGGGAGTCACTTCATTTGGCTATTTCTGGAGAGGCACCATCAATGCAGAAAACTATACATTAGTTTTAGGACTATGTTTAAGCCCATTCAGCAAAGACCCAGGGCTGTGGAACAGATAAAACCTTATACTGTATCATACAAGAATGAAACAACATTTCCCTCCAGAATCTCCAGTAACTCAACATTTACAGACTACTGTTAAAGGAGGGGATGCTTCACAACATGGCCCAAAGTCAACACTTTTTATATGTGTTGTTACCATCAAAACCAAAATAACTTTATTTTTTCCTGAAAATGTTATAAACAATTTCTGACTTTAAACATTTCCTATTTATTACATTTTCTAACCAGGTTGAGTCAGGTCCTCTGGACGGGTTCTTTGTTGAAACGTTTTATCTTTTATCCAAAGGACTTTTTCAGTCAGACTGAAGCCCCATTATCTATGTGGATTATTGAGAATGCATCAGGACATTTATTTCATTTTATTTTACACATATTTTAGTCACAATGGTCTACTGTGAACATTTTTTTTTTCTGTAGACTTACATAGTTTTAGTTAGTTGGTGGGTGGGCATTATGCACATTAAGCCAAATACATTAAACGTTTTTATTTACATTTGACACAATGTTCAAACTTTTACAGAATTGTGGTTGAACTTTGAACAGGTCATCCTTATGGAGTTACAACTCTGAAAGAATCTACAAAAATATTGACCGTTTTCACAGAACTCTGTGGTTCTGGAGTTATATTTTGAACACTGAGTTCTCACCCCAGCCTCGTTGGCAGCTCTCAGTCTGAAGCTGTATGTTGCACCAGGCAGTAAACTTGAGACCGTGCACTGCAGCTCCGAGCCGTGGTAAACTTCTGCTAGCTTGGTGTCTCCCTCACTCAGCTCAAGACTGTACATACACTCTTCACACACACCCTCACACATGGGGGAGTCTAGCGGGACAAAAAAAGGAACGTCTGAGAAAATTAAGCATTTAAACTTTTTAAGTTATATAAGTTGTAATTCAGCAGTAACGACAGTCAGCATGTTATATCAAGGTTCATGCTCAGTAATCCAGGTAAAACATCCAACAATGTTCAATCAGGTCAATCAGCATGTTATACTTTAGAAAGGAGCACCTGATGATTTTTAAAGATAACGGTTGAGCCTATGGCTTTTACATACTGGTTGACAATTAGCATTTATTTCTCCACCATCTGCTTCACTTTGCTTGCAGCAGGACAAAAGCAATAAATGATGAAAGCTTTGGGGAAAACCCTTCAGCCCATTAAGTCTGACTTTCAACTGGAGCCAGTCATTACTGCAGCACTGCCTGAACTGGGGCCAAGCAGCGACGTGAGCAGTTGTATTAGACTGGGTACAGAAAGAATTCCTCAGCTCTGCCAGCTGACGCTGCCAAGAGATAACAGTAATAACAAGCAAAAATGGGTGGACATTATGCGAGTTAAGCCAGATACGAGGATAGTTTGGGAATTTTATGGGGTGAATTAGAGCTCAATTAGCCCAAAACAGGCTTGACTAAGCTCATAATTGATGTGGCCAGTTAAGCTCATTAGGCAGTCAGAATTTGATTTATCTGACTTATATGAGAAGTTCCATTATTTCTGGGTAAATAAAGCTAAACACAGCATATGTATAAGTCTGCACTTACCCCATTCTAACTGCACTTCCTTGTGTTTGGCTTTACCCACAATCCTTGGTGGCTGGCAAGGGCCTGGTGGAACGCTTAATGTATGGACTGGAACACTGACGGTGCACTTCAAGAACAGAGATTTAAAAAAAATCAAAATAATAAAAGCAGTTCAAACAAGAAAAATGTCATTTTCTGTACAGAGTATAAATGCTTATTCCTAAATGATGTTTACTGAAACCAGACTGAAAAGGTTTCATCCCTAAACTGTTAATGCAAGTTCAACTGGAACAGCTGACATTTGCTGAGAGCAGAAAAATAAAAACAACAGAAAAACAGCAGGAATGTGTAAATAGCAGAACAGAGCAAAAATGTAGAAGACATGAGTAAAACAAAATGAAAGGAAAAAAAAAGTCTGAATAGTAAAATATTTTTAAAAAGCTGAATTGATTAAAAAAAGCTGAAATTAGCAAAGAGTGGCTGAAAAAGTTAAGAGGCTGAAAAAAGCATAAAATTTGAAATTATTAGAAAAAAATATCACAAAAGGTGTACATTACTTAAAAAAAAATACAGCAGAAAAAGCAGAATGTGGAAAGAAGTTGAAAGGAGTAGAAGAATGGTCGAAAAAAGTATCAATGAGCTAAAAGAAGCTGAAAGGAGCTGAAGGAAGCTGAACCAGAAGAAAAGCTGAAATGAGCAGTAAAAAGATTTAAACAGCACAGAGGAGACAGAATGAGTTACATGCCCAAAAACGCATGGAAGAAAACTGGCTCTCGTGATTTGAAGGGTTTAGAAGCATCAACACTACTGAAGTATTGAAGATGGCTGCCAGTTACTAGGAGGCAGCTGTGGCTATAATTGTGGATTATTCTTTGTAGAAATCTAATAGAGTGCTGTATGAATGGGTAAAGAGAGAGATTGTTGTAAAGAGCTTTGAGTGTCTCGATAAGATAGAAAGGAGCTATACAAGTACAGTACAGTCCATTTACCATTTACTACTATAAAAAATATATATCTGAATATGTGAAGTTTGGAAATGTTCAAATATTTGCTTGCCAGGAATTGACAAAACTTAGGTTTCAATAACACAATTTTCTTGTTTTTAAAAACTTTGCATCACCGACTGAAAACCTGAAGTTCCCATTTCCCCACGTCCTCCAAACAGGCGCACAGTAAGTGTCTCACCGGGCTGTGTCCTCCGGTGGTGATGCTACATACACGGAGTTGGTACAAAGTTCCAGGTGTCAACCTCTCACACACACATTCTGTTTCTGGGCCGCTGTACGCTACCTCCCACTGGCTCACTGCACAAAGACACACAAGACGAAAAAATCATTACAACCGTTGTCACGTTTGTGAGGAAAATGGCGCTCATTTGCTGTTTTTTATTTCTCTTCATATCTCTGCTGTCAACCTACGCTTTTGCAGAAAAAATATTTTACTGACCGATTTAAAAACTCGGCAGAAGTCCTCCTCCAGGCTAAGTTATGGATTAATTACCATAGATAATTATGACGCCTCTGAGGCAGCCATAGCCAAAGTGGTTCAAAACATCAAAGTTCATGCTCAGTAATCCAGGTAAAAAAATCCAACAACGTTAAGTCAGGTCATCTGGACGATTTCTTTTCTTGTCCTTGATGGAGTTGGCAGAGGAGAGGGCGGGCCCCAGAAACCATCTTACACCATCAAACTCGTTGGACCACTATGTGTGTGCTGCTTGTGAGACTGAGTTTGTTGTGGCTCCTTGGACTGATGAAGTTCTCTGGATGAAGGATGAAACGTCTCAACAAAAAAAGAAACCGTCCAGAGGACCTGACTTTGTTGGATCGTTTTACCTGAATTATTGAGCATGAACTATGAAGACAAATGAAGATGTTTTATAATTGAAAGGAGAAAAAAAAACATGTAGTATTTGTACCTTCAGATGTTCCTTCTGAGATCTCCAGCAGATACGTAAGAGCCTCTGAGCCCCCGTTGTCTTGGGGAGGAGCTGTAGGAAAATTGATAAATAAGTTTTGGTTGGAGATAGGGCATTAACAGAGTACTTGAGTAATCTACACATCGATTGCTAGGACATCTATCGAGGTTAAAAATTTAACATCGAGTATCTGTAGTGACGTCATATTATGTGACCACCGTATGACCGTAGGGGGCGGTGTTGCACTGTTGCAGGTCACAGAGTATGGTGTAACACCGGGTCTAATCCACCGAACCAGAACCAGTTTCGGTTTAAGTTTCGTTTTTGACGTGCTGCACGTTTCTTCACGTTTGTAGTTTAATAATAATAACTAATAGTTTAGTTTTTCCTGTGACTTATTTGCAGTATGATAAATGGTAGGAGCATAATATACGCTCCCAATGTTTTGTTGGTCTTTTTTTTGTTTGTAAATAATTACCTTTTTTTGCGGTTTTATTTATTTATTTATTTTTGTATCTTGAGATCTATGACGTCATCAAATACTCTAGTTCTACTCAGGTTTTATTATGTTAATGTTGAGTTTAAAAATCATATACTCATTCAACCCCTAGTTGGAGACAATATCGTTTTCATTTTTAGAAGTCTTATTTTAAAAGATTAAAACAGTGGTCTTTATTACATCTGCAACTGATTACAATAAAGAAATAAACTATATGTTACACACATGTTGCGTGTGTGAGGACTTTTCATTACATTATATTACTATTACTGTTCATTACATTTAGCATACATTTATTGTATAGTAGCATCTACAGAAAAATGTCATTTGGCTCCAAAACAGACTTTTAAATTAGTCCTCTCATTCCTCAACAGAATGCATGTCACCCACCGCCTTTCATGACAAAACTTTAAACTAAGATAACCTTAAATTGACCAGGTATAAAAATACAGCAATTTTCATCAATATGATAATGCCTGCAATCTGTGGCAAGATCTGAAACTGGCTTGGTGCTCAGATTATGTGTTGTGAATGATTCTCAGCTACTACTATGCTACAATTATGCTCAATATTGGTAGAATTAACTGAACTGCAGCCATTTCTGTGTTGATTAGCTGTGGCGGCTGTTTTGAGTTTCATTAAAACACCAGTTCTTCATGAAACATTTTGATAACAGACAAACAAGGTTTTAAGACAAAATTTAAATAATTATTGTCTCGGTATTGCTTCAGTACAGCTGAGTGATTTCAGTTGTAATTCCTTGTGTAGTTTTATGTGAGTGTTGTTTTTTTACGTATTAGGTGTGTGTTTTTGAACAGGTAGAGTGTTTACCCCATGTGACCATAAAGCTGTAGGGTGTCACCCCAGTGATGTTGGGTGTAGATGGAGGACCGGGTTTGTCTGGGTTGGTGGTGCACACTAAGACTTCACTTGGACTGCTTTTTCCTTCCATGTTTGATGCTATGAGCTGCAGGGAGAGTAAAAACATTAAATGTAAACCAGTAAACAATATTAAATAGATAGTATTTCCATATGTGGGGCTTTTGTATCCAACCAGGATACTCAAAGAACTTTACAACACAATCTGTGCCCTTGTTTACCCATCCACACACATATTTGGAAGGACAGCTGTGGCATGGTGGTAGGGCAGCTGACTTGGGACCAAAAAGTCACAGATTCAACTCTGCCATGCCCACATGTTGTGGTGTCCTTCAGCAAGACTTCCTAATGCCTAACTGCTCCCCGGGTGCTAACATAGCTGACTGCTGCTCCACTTGATGCATCTCACGTGTGATGGGTTAAATGTAGAGCTTAAATGTCATCATTGCCACAGCCTCCCCAAATGCCCACAGAGTGGTTTGAGCAGTCATCCTCCAATGGGAGAGTTGGGGGTTCGATGCCACCACAAGTCACATGTTGAAATGTCCCTGGGCAAGACACTGAAACCCTCATTGCCTCTGATGTGTGTCCCATCATCCATCCATCTTCCGCAGTTGGAAGTTGGGTCTCGGGGGCAGCAGCTTGAGCAAGGGGGCCCAGACATTTCTTTCCACAGCCAGCTCTTCCTGCTCTTCTGGGAGGATCCCAAAGCGTTCCCAGGCTAACAGAGATGTAGTCTCCCCAGCGTGTCCTGGGTCTTCCCCGGGTCTCCTCCCAGTTGGACTTACTCAAAGCACCTCCTGAGAAAGGTGCCCAGGAAGCATCCTTATCAGATGCCCAAACCACTTCAACTGACTCCATTCGATATGGAGGAGCAGCAGTTCTACTCCTGAGTCTCTCCTGGATAACTGACCTTCTCACCCTATCTCTGCATCCTGTAGCCTGTATACACAATCTCATTCTTTCAGTCACTACCAAGAGTATGGAATCCTGAGGTCACCAAACCAGAATCCCTCTGCCCCCTGGCTGCACCGAGAAATTCTGAACATAAAAGTTGTGAACAGCATTGGTGACAATGGGCAGCCCTGGTGGAGACCAACCCCCACCCTGAAGGGGTCCATCTTACTACCGGCAGTGTGAACCAAACACTCACACAGCTTGTATAGGGACCAAATATCCCCTAGCAACAGGTCCCCAATCTCATACCCATGGAGCAGACCTCCAGTGTTCCCCAAGGATCATGGTCAAATGCCTTCTCCAAGTCCACATGACACATTTGAAAGTCCTCCCATGACTCCTTGAGGACCCTAGAAATGGTAAAGAGCTAGTCCAGTGTTCTACAGTCAGGACGGAACCCGCATTATTTCTCCTGGATTCGAGGTTCGACCAGCGATCAGACTCACTTCTCCAGTACCCCTGAATAAAACTTACCAGGGAGGCTGAGGAGAATTATGCCCCTATAACTGGAGCACATCCTCCTGTCCCACTTTTTAAATAGGGGTTATGGATAGACCAACCCCAAAGTCCTCCGACCCAGGTTCTTCCATAGAAGACATGCCGGTGGGATTGAGAAGGTCTGAGAAGTATTCCTTCCACCTCCCAACGACATCACTGGTTGATGTCAACAGCACCTTGCCTTCACTGAAAACAGTGTTAGTAATGGGTTGTTTACCCCTCCTCAGATGCCTGATGGTTTGCCAGAATCTCCTTGGAGTCTTAGGCCTTACCAAATTCCTCATTTACTCCTCAGCTGCCTCTGGAGTCCCATCAGCCAACTAGGCCGATAGGACTCCTTTTTCAGCTTGACAGCCTCCCTAACCTGGGGTGTCCCACTGAGTTCAAGGATGGCCATTGTGAGAAGCACCGACAACCCTGTGACCACAGCTCAAGACAGCTACTTCAACAATTGAGGTGCAGAACATGGTCCACTCAGACTCAATGTCCCAAGTCTCAGCTGGGATGTGGTTAAAGCTCTCCCAGAGATGCAAGTTGAAGATCTTTCTGATGGGTTCTTCTGCCAGGCATTCCCAGCAAACCCTCACTACACGGTTGAGTCTACTGGATCTGTCTGGCATCTTCCCCTGCCATCTGACCCAACTCACTACCAGGTGGTGATCAGTTGACAGCTCAGCTCCTCTCTTCACCCAAGTGTCCAAAACAAACAGCTGCAAATCAGATGACATGACTCTAAAGTCAATCGTCGATCTATGACCTAGAGTGTCCTGGTGCCAAGTGTACTTAGGATACCCTTATGTTCGAACATAGTGTTCATGATGGCCAAATTATGACTAACACAGAAGTCCAACAACAGAAAACCGCTTGGGTTCAGATCAGAGAGGCCATTCCTCCCATTCACAAAACTCCCAGTTATACTGTCATTACCCACGTGGGCATTGAAGTCTCCCAGCAGAATAACGGAGTTCTCAGCTGGCACACCTTCCATCACCTTAGGAACTCCAAGAAGGCCAGATACTCTGAACTGCTGTTTGGAGTAAGCACAAACAACAGTCAGAGTCCCCCCCCCCCCCCCCCCACACACACACACACACACACACACCTGAAGGCGAAGGGAAGCTACCTCTCATCTACTGGGGAAAACTCCAACAGACAGGCACTAATTCGGGGGGCTAAAATTAGACCCACACCAGCTAGGTGCCTCTCACCAAGGGCAACTCCAGAGTAGAATAAAGTTCAGTCCCTCTCAAGGAGTTTGGTTCCACAGCCCATGCTGTACAATGAGGTGAGCCCAACTATATTTAGTTGGTACCTATCTACCTGATGCACAAGCTCAGCCTCCTTCCCTGTGAGAGAGGTAGGAGAGTCCATGTCCCAAGAGGCAGCTTTAATAAGCCAGGGTCACAGTGCCAAGGCCCTGCCTTCAGCCACTGTCCATGGTATCATGCACCGACTTGTATGGCCCCTCCTGCAGATGGTGTGTCCACAGGAAGGCCATGTTACTCCTTCAGGCTGAGCCCGACTGGATCCCATGGGTAAAGACCTGGTCACCAAGCTCTCGCCGACGAGTGCATACCCAGGGTGGGGCCCTGGTAACCCATGTCCGGGCAAGGGACACTGAGCTCCTTGTTTTTAATGTCCATACAAGTCTTCTGAATAGCTCTTTGTCTGGCTTGTCACCTAGAACCAATCTGCCTTGAGAGACCCTACCAGGGCAATTAAAATTGCTCCTGACAGCATAGCTCCTAGAATCATTCAGGTGCACAAACTCCTCCACCACAATAAGGTGATTCAAGGAGGAGGCGTGTCCCATCAGTGTATGAATTTGAACTAAAGCACTGATTAGCCTATACAGAATCAGATTATCTTTGGAGAGATCTAGTAGAGTGCTGCATGAATATGTGTGTGGAGGTAAATGAGGGCACAGATTGTGTTGTAAAGAGCTTTGAGTGTCTTGATTAGATAGGAAGATGCTATACAAGTACCATCCATTTACCATCATTGTACAGAAACATACAATGATGACAACATGATTGCACTTAAACCTTTTTTACCTTTTCATATAACACTCTACTACAAAAATAATATGAGCAAATCGTTAGAGACTAAACAGAGTTTTAGATCAAATTCATACACCAGTGGGACACACATTGGAGTTAATAAGGGGTTTAGTGTCTCGCCCGGGAACACTTCAACATGTGAATGCTGGAGGCATCGAACCCCTAACACTCACATTCAGCAACAGTCACCCCACACTCAAGCTCACTAGATTTTGCATTTTGAAAGACACTAAAAACAATAAAAACACTAGACAGTAAAAACGTTGTATACAAATGGATTTTGCCTTTAAATTCACTCCTCCAATTTTCAGTAACCAAGATTCAATGTAATTTTTCCACGTGAAAATAAACTGTATTTATTTTATTATCATCAGAACTTGTTAATATTTTTGGGGGGGATTTTGAGTTCTAGAATTGCGCCGCTCAAGGTGGCTGCATGTTGGAGCAGCTCTGTTACTTTCATTCCGAGATTTTGCTTTTGTAAACTTTAATTCCTCTTTTGCTGGATGTAAATCACATTTTTTGGATTATTGTTTCCTCTGGTATCAGATGCTATGCAGCAGGAAGGATTTTTACTGAAACTTTTTTAGTTTTGGACATTTGTTATGATGCGTAACCATGGCAACAAGGCAGTTTTCTACAACCAACAGTAGCTGATTAACATCTCAAAAGCTCAAATAATATCTCAACTACAACTCCAAATCTCAAATGAGTTGAAAGGATGTTCTGTGGACGCATTCTCATCTACCTGTCAGCTGTACCCTGGCCACTGAGATCCTGGAACTAGCAGGAAACACAGCTCATGACAGCAGAAGGACAGGATCGTCCCTCGGCACCTACAGTTGGCTGTCCACAGCGACGAGGAGCTCGGCAGACTGCTAGGAGGAGTGGCCATCGCTCTGGGAGTAGTTCTGCCCGGCATTCGGGCGGTCCTACAGCCTGAGGGAACCGAGAGGCCAGCCGAGTCTGGGTGGACGGATCGGACGGCATCTGCAGCCAGTTTCTTAGGATTCACTGTGGGAAGGACCTTTACAAGAGAACCTTCCTGTCTACAGCCATCAGTATCTATAACATCTCTTAATGAAATTAAGGATAACGAGTTACAACAACAAATAATTTCCCTTTGGGATTAATAAAGTATTTTTGAATTGAATTGAATTTGAAAAAATATTGTAAAAATGTAACATAAAAAAGCTTTCATTTTGATTGATGATGCTTTACAAAATAATTTGATTGGCTGTTTGACTCAATCCAGAATCATTTGCTTATTCTTGTGTTCAGCACTGAAACTGTAAGTTCTAGATAGTTAATCTGAAATGTCAAAATAGACCAATACTTAGTACTTTGAAAACAATAATCTTGATCCTGAAAAATACCTGTACAGTCAAATTTGACACAGAAACAAAAAAAAGAAACATTGAATGCAGGTTACTGAAAACTGAAGTTGAATTAAAGCCAAAATGTTTTATATAGTATAATAACTTCATTAAATTTTGGGGTTTTTAACTTCAGTGTCTTTTAAAATTCAAAACCCCATAAGACCAATTTGCTTTCATGAACCACCTGTCCTGAATAATAGGAGTAATCACATTCTATTTCTTATTACCTGCTTCATTCAATGTTTGTTTCTACATGAGGTGGAAAACATACAAACTGCCCCTTCATATGTCTGTGTTTCAAACATCCATTATGTTGGTGTGCGCATGCAAGCACATAGGAAGTGTTATTGGAGATGAGTGCATCATCGAACGCCAAAACACACTTACGGGGATGTACCATTGGCACATTTATTTCAAAATGTCCTCACATCATGCACAGTTTTGATCAAGGCTTTTAGTGAAAGAATCTGTGCAATACATGAGCAGTGCCTTGTTCTCTTTTTAAATGGCAGTCTAATTTCTGCTGGTATTTTTTACTTTATGGCAGTATGGCAGATTAGTGGTTAGCACTGTTGCCTCACAACAAAAAGGTCCAGAGTTCAATCCCCTATATGGACCTGGGGTCTTTCTGCGTAGGCGTTGATATGTTCTTGTGTTTGGGTGGGTTTTCTCCAGCTACTCCAGCTTCCTCCCACAGTCCAAAAAAATGCATTTTGCAGAAGAGATCTGCAATCTCAGTGAGATTTGCATGCTTAAATAAAGGTTAACAAATAAATCAAACTAAAGACTTTTCGACTAACACCACCTTATGCTGAAAAATGATGATATTATAACCGATTTGCAATATGCAATATTGCAAAACATCATGCTCTGAGTACGTGTTGTGAATGACTCTTAGCTTCTACCACATCTGATTTTAGCTCAGTATTTGTAAAACTGTCTAAGCTATTTGCATTTTGGGGTTTGCTCATTTCAATCAGCTGTAATGGCAATTTTAAATGAAATGAATTCCAAAAGTTAATGATTTGTAAATTTGTAAATGCGAGACAAACCCAAACAAAATAACATTGTATCCCGCCTCTGCCTTTCAACGGTGGGCAATAAACTAAAGAGTGAGACAGGTGTCATGTTCTCAGCAGTGCATCCTTAATCTAATAATACATATGTATTTCAGCTCAGCTTCAACACAATCATACCACAGCATCTGGTCAGCAAACTGGCTACACTAGGCTTCAACACCACCTTCAGGAAATGGATCCTTGACTTGTTCTCTGACAGACCACAGTCAGTATGAGTGGGGAGGAACACCTCCTCCGTTATCAGTCTGAGCATGGGTTCCCCCAGGGCTGTGTTCCGAGTCCGCTTCTCTTTACCCTGATGACCTACAATTGTGTTGCCAGGTCTGAGACCAACCACATCATCAAGTATGCGGACGATACCACTGCTGTGGGCCTGATTAGCAACAACAAAAATCGGGCATATCGGGAAGAGGTGACACACCATGTAAATGGTAAATGGATTGTATCCAAAAAAGTTCAATCTGGTCCTCTGGACATTCAAAAAAAAATTTTTGAATGTCCAGAGGACCAGATTTAACTTTTTTGGATTTTTCTACCTGGATTATTGAGCATGCATCAGGATAAACGGACTGTACTTATATAGCATCTTTCTATCTTATTTCAAGATACTCAAAGCACTTTACACTACAATCTGTGTCCTCATTTACCCATTCATACAGCACTCTACTAGATCTCTACAAAGCTAATTGAACAAATAATTCTAATGAGACTAATCAGTGCTTTAGATCACATTCATACATTGATGGGACACACATCAGAGGCTATGAGGGGTTCAGTGTCTTGCCCAGGGACACTTCGACATATGACTGCTGGTGGATTCGAACCCCCAACTCTCGCATTGGAGGACGACTGCTCTAACCACTCAGCCACTGCCGCCCCGTGAACTGGTGTGGGAAAAAGAACCTGGCTCTGAATGTCAACAAAACAAAAGAGCTCATTATTGACTTCTGGAGAACAAAACCACATTATACGCCGCTGCTCATAGACAACATAGAGATGGAGGTGGTGGAGAGCACCAGGTTCCTGGGGGTGCACCTGACCAATCAGCTGTCTTGGTCAAGAAACACTGAGTCTCTAGTGAAGAAATCCCAGTAGCGTCTGCACTTCCTCCATAAGATGAAGAGAGCAAACCTCCCACCCCATGTCCTCACCACATTCTACAGAGGAATCATCGAGAGTATCATGACCAGCTGCATCTCAGTTTGGGAAGGAAGTTGGTAGCTGCAGACTGAAAGGATCTGAGGAGGGTGGTAAGAACAGTGGAGAAGATCCTTAGGTCACCATTCCCATCGATCCAGGACATTGGTCTCAGACGCTGTCTGAGCAGAACCAGAAAAATCAAAAGAGACAACTAACACCCACAATACGGACTGGTTACTCTGTTGGCCTCTGGCAGGAGGTACCACAGCCTGAGGACCAGAACCACCAGGTTCTGCAACAGTTTCATCCCATGAGCTGTCAGACTGCTGAACTCAGGTCACTAATGAAGTGACCACAATAGAAAACACACACACAGCCATTCTTATAAACCTAAGTCTATAAAATCCATTTAAATTATGTACTTCTACACTCCTGTGGAGAAATGAAACCAAATTTTGTTCCGTTTGCTTTGTGCACTGTATAATTTTGTATAACAATAAAGTTTTATATTATTATATTATATATATAAATATATATATATTTACTTACCCTGAATTTATACTGTGTGCTTCTCTTCAGGCCTTGTACAGTACAGGTCAAGTTTTCTCCAGTGTACTTTGGATGAAAGTCTGTTCCCTGTGGGAGACACCATACACCATAAATGATCTGTGTGAGGTGGTTGTTTTATTTTACTTTTCAGTATGTATCAAGTTCAAGTTTGTCGTCATTCGCATCACATGTGGTACATGAGGTGGAACAAAATTATGTACTCAAAGTCCCAGTTCCACCCAAAAATAGCAAAAATATAAAGTATAAAAAGAAACAGTATATAAGGATTTAAGATACAAACTAAGACATACGCTAAACGAGTGCCAAACGGTATGCTAAAAGATCTAAGATATACACAGAACACTAATAATGTAAAACAATACGGCGTAACAACAGCAACCTGAACATGAGTCTGTGTGAGCAGATGGGTATGAATGAACATTATCAACATATCTGTGCATATACATGAATTTAAAACAGACTTTTATGAAGACTCTGTGTTAGTTTCTGTCAGAGGAAATAAAGGGTTTGTTGAAATTTATGGTGCATAGCTCAATATGTACAGAAGACAAAAACTGTTTGTTGAAATATTTTTGAAATGCAAAGCTTTTTAACTGGATATTTTTATTTTTCTCTGTTTTTTACCTTGGGGATTTTAGTGAACAACAGCAAGGGACAATGAAAGAATGAAGTCTTTCATAGAAACACATAAACGGGCCAATTACTAAATCCAAAAGGCTGAAAACCAAATCAAGTTTTTTTGTTTATTCTAAGATAGCCATTTCTGATTTTTTTTCTTTTGAGATATGATGCAATAGAAAGTAAACTCTTGTCCCACTTACGCTGTTGTCCTCCTGGATCTCAAGTGTGTATTTAAATTGCTCCTCGCTGGGACTGCCTTCAGGACGCACCCACTCCAGAGTCACCCAGGACACCCCAGCCCTGATGAGCCGTGGCGCCAGCAGCAGAGCAGGCAGGGTGCCCATGGTGTAAAACACTACCTCTTGACTGACACCACTGCATGAGACACATCTTCATTTCAGTCACATTTGTTTAATGTACAGAAATTTAATAACTGACCTGTGCAAGAGGAGAGGTGCAATGTTTCATGAATGTTTAATGGGAGACTTTTTAAAGTGAGAGGACAGAAAAGTCAAATCAAGTCAAATTTATTCATAAAGCACATTTAAAAACAGCAGCTGTTACTAATGTGCTTAACATTAAATATAATGACAGTAACTAAAGAAAAAAAAGGTCAAACTGACTTAAGCTGCTTTAACTTGAAGAAACGTTTCTGCAGAACATAGCTAATCTATTTATTAAACTTACAAAGTCAGGGTCCAAAACCATCCTGAGATTTCTAACAGACTGCTTAAGATATGGCTCAAAAGAGTCAAAGTTAACAGGAACAGAGATGGCAGAAGAGCTACGGCTAAACACGATGACGTCAGTTTTCTGATCATTGAAACTTAAAAAATTTGAAGCCATCCATGCCTTAATCTCATCAAGAGATTTTAACAGAGGGTGAAGGGAGCAAGAACTATTAGGATTTAAGAGTAGAAAAATCTGACAAACAGCATAGCAGTAAAAAAAAAAAAAAAAAAAAGACCATGTTTCCTCAGAATAGACCCCAAAGGGAGCAGATACGGTAAAAACAGAAGGGGTCCAATAATCGAACCCTAAGGAACCATGCAGGAAAGAGGCATTGTAGCAGATAATATATTACCAATATTAACACAGAAACTCCTGTCACTCAGATAAGAATGGAACCATTCTAATGCTGCGCCTGTAATCCCAACCCAGTGTTTGAACCATGATATAAGGATACTGTGGTCCATAGTATCAAAAGCAGCAGTAAGGTCCAAGAGTACAAGGATCACAAATTGACCAGAGTCATTGCTAAGAGAATATTGTTAACTAAATATCCTGATGCATGCTCAATAATCCAGGTAGAAAAATCTAAAAAAGTTAAATCTGGTCCTCTGGACATTCAAAAAAAACAAAACAAAGCAAATCAACAAAAAATGTAGAAACGTTTCGTCTCTCATCCGAGAGACTTCCTCAGTCTGAGGAGCTGTATTCAGCTCAGTCTCTTAAATAGCACCGTCTCAAAGTGGATCAACCAGTTTTGCTGCTGACAACCAAAACCAGCTGATCACATGCTCAAGAAGGACCATCAGCCTAACAATGGATCATTAGCACACTGATGGCTGTTTACTGTTCACAGAGGGCTGAGTGATACTATCAATCACAGCATTGTAAGAGGGGGACAGTTGAACCCGGAGGCCTCCACCCCTGTTTAACGATGGACGGTTTCTTTTCACAAAGATGGCCTCCTTTACTCCTCTCTCAAACCATTGTTCCTCTCTGTCCAGGATGTGAACATCTTCATCCCTGAAAGAGTGACCGCTGGCCTGGAGATGAGTGTAGACCGCAGAGTCCTGGCCTGATGATGTTGATCTTCTGTGCTGGGCCATCCTTTTGGCCAGTGGCTGTTTTGGTTCATCCCAAAGATCCAGTCCCCCGGCACAAACAGAGCAATGTTGTGTATGCTGTTCAGTGTCAGGAGGGCTGTGATCAGTCCTACATTGGGGAAACATTCAAGGAGGCCATCTTTGTGAAAAGAAACCGTCCATCGTTAAACAGGGGTGGAGGCCTCCGGGTTCAACTGTCCCCCTCTTACAATGCTGTGATTGCTAGTATCACTCAGCCCTCTGTGAACAGTAAACAGCCATCAGTGTGCTAATGATCCATTGTTAGGCTGATGGTCCTTCTTGAGCATGTGATCAGCTGGTTTTGGTTGTCAGCAGCAAAACTGGTTGATCCACTCTGAGACGGTGCTATTTAAGAGACTGAGCTGAATACAGCTCCTCAGACTGAGGAAGTCTATCGGATGAGAGACGAAACGTTTCTACATTTTTTTGTTGATTTGCTTTGTTTTGTTTTTTTTTTGAATGTCCAGAGGACCAGATTTAACTTTTTTAGATTGTTAACTAAAGTTGTTTTGGTGCTGTGTAATTATTTAAAACCAGACTGAAAGATTAAAAAAATTCCATTCTCATTCAAAAACACATTTAATTGAATAAAACTACTTTCTGCAAGATTTTATAAAGAAAGGGAAGTTTTGAGATTTGTATGAATTTAGAAAAGTGGCCTATGGGCTCATTTAACTGACATAAAAGCAGAGACGAATGGAAGTTTAGAGGTGCGGAGGTTTGAAGCGTCTACCCTTGTTCTTTGGGAGAGGGGAGGCGACACATTTGTGAGATGAAAATGGAAATCAGAAACTTTTTTTAACAAGTGTTCAGCAAATTCAATGCACATATCTATAAATCTGAACCGAGCAACAACTGCATATTTAATCCTGTCAGAGGTCTTACCCTTCCTGCCTCACCTATTCACCCCTCCATTGCCTAACCAGTGCAAGCTTGATTCACTCCCACATAATAACAAAAACATGGAAAGAAAAGGGAAAAAAATGTAAAAAAAAAACCCAAATATACAACACTAGCTTTAAATTGGCTGCATGCATGTACTGAAGCGCAAAACAGGCCTTACCCTCAGCCTTCAATGACATTTCATTGATTAATAAGTGTGTGAATACATGTTTCACTCACTTGCATTTGTTTGTATAGTCTAGCATATGTGTGTGTATATTCAGCAGCAGTGAGCAGTACCTTATGCCCATGTCGTTGTGTGCAGCCACCCTGAATGTGTAGCTGCAGGCGGGAAACAGTCGTGTCAGCTTACAGTGTCTCTGGCTCCCAAAGTAACATTCTCTGAAAACACTGTTCTTCTTCCCCTGCTCAGGAGGAAAAAACAGAGATATTAGAGAAATAAAATTAACTATTACACTTAAAGTTAAAAAAGGTAGTAAACAGAACTTGGAAACTTGGGTGTGCAACTGCAGCTACGGTCCTAAGTTTCAACATAACTTTGCAACTCCAAAAATAGCTTATTTTTTTGTTGTGAAAATAAAATGCGAGTGCTGATTGACTTCATTGACGTTTTCTGAAGAAGCTGAAACTGAGTTATTAAAGAGAAATGAAGAAAATATTAGCTAAAAGTCAAAAGGAACAAAACACTAGCCAAAAACTGAAAGTAGTGAAATGCTAAGTAAAAGCAAAAAGTAGTAAATTCTTGTCAAGTACATAAAAGTGATTTAACAAAAGGCTTGCTGGACGGTAGTTACAAAAGCCATTGTTTATTTCTCAGTGTTTTTATTTGTTTGTTGCAAATTTTACGTTTTATGATGTATTGCTACCAAAATTCATAACACACATTTCCCACTTGGTGTATAATTTTCATGCTTTATTCAAAGCTGTGCAGCAAGCTACAGGACTACAAGACTTAGCACAACAGTAATAAGGGCGTTTCAATGCATAATGGCACCTGTAGTGAACTCGGCCTCCGGTCAAACCTGCCTCTGAAGACCTTCATGGGACAGGAACTGTTATTTCATTGATTTGAATCCAGAAATACAAATTAGCTCATCCAGAGACTTTCTAATTGTATCCTGAACTAATCAATTGAAAGAACACTCTCTTTTTCATATTATCATTACTATTTTACAATATCTTGATAATCAAAAGTGTGTTTAGTTCATACCATTTTAAATGTTGAAATGAACCACTCATTTTAAATCAACTGTGAAACAGTATTAATGATTTTTAATCCTCATTCAAAGTAGAAATCAAGTTAAATGTCTGTTACAAAGTAATTATGCATTTTTGATCTTCTGTCTGAAATGAGAGAGTGATGTCGGTCAAAAGTCGGAGACAGTCGCAAACAAGTTTATTGGAATGAACTGTCATGTTTTTAAACCTCTCAGACAGAAACAAGAAAACTGGCACCTGTAAGTCTGTCATTTCTCCAAAACATTACTCTGTCTGTTCCTAAACATCTCCACTGTTTTCTTGACTTGTAATGACCCTCTGACGTCATTAAAACCACACCCCTGTTGGTTCTTTCAACCAATCTGGACTTCCCAAAAGTGATCGGAAGCAGAACTCTTTAAAAGTCAACACATCCTAGTTCCAGTGAGAACAGAAGTTCCGAAAGTTCTGAAGTGCTGGAGTTAGTTGGGAGTTCTTCCGAATCTAGTTGGGATTATGGAATCTTCCACATCTGAGTGGAACCTCTGACGGACTCACAGCTCATGTGAGTCCACCCGGGAGGTGAGCGTGTTGTTGCACGGAGTACCGTCACTACTTCGGACGATTCTCAGCCATCCTAAGGAGACGCTGAAAGGTAGTGTTGAAATGGAACTCCGTACCGGAGCTGACCTATCTTCTGCAAAGGTAACGAGTCGCTTCACTACCGAGTGTACCGAGGCTGAGCTGGGGTCGGATGAAGGGTGCTGTTCCTCGTCAACACACTTTCCCTCATCTATCTTTTCTCTCCATTTAAACTCCTTAATTTCCCATCTTTAAAACTCTTCTATCTTGCCAGTAATTAATCCAGATATCCTCAGAAATGTCTATTGTTTTTATTAAGCAAAACGTGCCAAGTTTTATTAATCAGAGCCGATAGCATAATCAAGTGTACAATGTTTTGATGTTAAATTTTGATTCTGTTAATAAATGACCACATTCATTTTGATGGGTCAAGGAAAATTAACGTCTCATGTCACTGATTAAACCGTCTACAACACAGTACCTCTGTCACATATCTGTCAAGTAGCTCGAAAAAGTGAGAACCTGTTATTAAAAATTGATTGTAGTGGAGCTCTTAAGCTAACTGAAGCTAACCTAGCCCTACATCACTACATTTCTGGTGGCCCGTACGGGGATCTAAAGAGCTTCTCTTGACCCGATATCCGTCTCTTTGGACATTTTGTGGCCGTACGAATGTTTAAAGAGGTGTGAATTAAATGTGACGGGGTCTGTGTCATTGAGATGGACGCTGAATGTTGGCGTGAAAAGGTCCAAGTTTTGAGCTTGATACAGCATGATTCGGCTTGTGGTGTTCAGAGAGCTGAAAGTAATGTCGATGTGTTCATTTTAAAGCTAAAATTTGTACGACTGTTGTGTAACTAAAGCTGGCATGCTGTGGTAAAACGCTTTATTCTGTTTAAACTGTAGCAGAGAGGGGGGTTCTGACCCGGTTCTGCTGTCCGACTCAGTTCTGATTCGTTGAACGAGTCGTGTTTTGAATGGATAAAACGCTGTTTTGAAGCTGAGCGCCGTCTCAGACCACTGTTAAGAGCTTCGCTACATTTGTAGCAATAAATTGTGCATTTTGACGGTTTAATGGACGATAGTGACCGGACTTTTCAGGCTAACTGCTAACACTGCTAGCTGGAATCACGAGCTGTGATTGGTTGAAAACCGCTGTTTGGGTCGCTCTGATTTGCTGAGAGACGGGTGATGTGTCTGGGTTCACTCCCTCTCATGCCAGATTGTAAAACCCATCCCGTTGCTCACGTGTCTATGGAGTCACGTGACCCCAGAAATGAATCTCGGTTCAACCGAAGCCTCCTCTGTGTTTAAAATTGCTTAATGCAGCCTGCCGCTGTTCCCAAAACTCATGTTTCATGCAAAAAGTCGTGCTTGTTGAAACAACACCACGTTTAAGCTTTAAATCCGTTCAGAAAATACTGATTTGACCGTGTTCGACCGTATGCTACATCTGGCTAACGGCTGACACCGGATGTCAACAGAACGATCCACAGGAAGTTGTCATAGACTCCTGCTGATATAAATAAGCTTACACCACCACCTGCTGTTGAAAGAGGAGTATAACAGTTTTCCTAAAGGGGAGACAGATAATTCCTCTCATTTTTTTTTCTCTTTTCTTTTTTTTCATACAGCCTGGTTTATGAGTGACTGTTTTAAATAGCAAATTTCTGGTATATAGAACTGCTTAAAAAGTGTTTGAAAACTAAAGTTGCTGTGAGACTTTTAGAAAAATTGCAGGTTTATTTAATTTTAAGTGATTTAGAGTAAATGTACACTGAGAAGCCGGGTTCTTGTATCTGTTAAAAAATAAGCACATTAAGTAACACAGCCAGAAGGAGGCATTTACTTAAAATATTCATGCATTGGGGTGAATCTTACAATTAAGTGCCCATTTCTTTGAATAAGTTGACTTATGACAGTACTATTGAGTGAATCCAGAGCTAAGATAGTGTGTGAAACTCACTGCTCACTTGAATATAAATATTTACCTGTTAAAATATCTGAAGTTGGCAAACTGGTTAACCAGATAAGTGCTAAACAGTGAATAACCATGGCTGATGTGACAGAAAAGACTATTGATCCTTGTGTGATAGATTGGTTAGAGAGAGCGTTTGCTCTGCTCACAGAATCCTTGGATCCATATGGTGTACAGGTGGACAGCATGAACTCCAAAGAGTTATTGGAAGAGCTGAAGGAAGTTGCAGAGAGGGTGACCTCTACAGCCAGAACAAACTCAAGCTATGACCAGCTGGCTAAATTGGCGCTCTTATTGAAAGCAACATTCTATGCTGTGGTAAACAAGGCTGACGACCTTGAATTAAGGTTAAACAGCGAAAGAGAGGAGTACTTCAAACTCATGGCACAGTCTAATTTTGATCAGGAGACCCATGCAAATGAGTTACAACATGACAGAGAGCTCTCACAAGCTCAGCTGTCATTACAAGCTCACTCATATGAGGAGAAGATGAGGGAGGGACAGATTAAGTGCCAAACACTGCGTTCAGACAACGATTCGCTAAAACAACAGTTGTAGCAGACATCAAAAGCTCTGAACGAGTGCAGATTGGAAAAAGCGGCGTTGGTCGACCAAGGCTTGCGTTTACAAAGTGAATGTCATACATCACAGGAACGCTTAAAAGCCTGTGAGGCGAAACTAGCCGCAGCAACAAATGAGATTTCTGACGTGGGGCGAGGTTGTCTGGAACTCAAAGCCGAACAAGGTCAGAGTCCAGGTCACCCACCACCACCTCAGAAGGATTTTGCTGCACCTCCTGCTCTTAATCCCATTCCGTCACCTCCACATGAGTCTAGCAACACACCTCCACGTACAGTTTTGATTCCTACGATATCAATAAAACAGCTGTTACTCCCAATTTTGTATTTGCACAAAATTTCAAAATGTGTCAATCGATTTGAGCCAGGGCCGTTGGGTTCAACTGACACTAAGGCCTATCTGGACAACCTTGACTTCCAATTAAGAAGCTATCCCAATGCTACAGTTGAGGATAGAGTAGGTTTGATCAGGCTCACTTCATCCAGGATGGTGTTTTCCTTCATAGAGCGTCAACCTGATGCCACAAGAAAGGATTACCGCCTGTTATGTGCCGCTCTTATGAAAGAGTATTCACCCTGCACGGGACCTGGCGGGTATCCAGCCACCGACAAGGTCATACAAGGTAAGAATGAGCACCCCAGGGCATATTATTCCAGGATTTTGCAGGCTTATTTTGGTTACAGGAACGAGGCCAACATGGAGGAAGAAGAACCGTTTAAATACGTGTTCAGCAAAAATATCCACCCTGACATAAGGATGTCAGTGCATATGATGGCTAATTTCAAAGAGAAATCCATCAGTGAGATAAAAAGTTGTGCTGTGAATGTCTTTGAAGCACGTTCACAGGCCGAAACACCTTTTGAGGTGTACCCAGGTGAGAGGATTTCTGCCCAGTCGTTAGAATTGGAAGGGACGAGAGCTTCGACTCCCCCTCCCAAAAAAGGCGAGAGGAAACGAGGTTTCCCAACAGCCAAACCACGACAGGTGAGTGCCCCCTGGTCCAGACGAGATCCTACACGGTTTCCCAAGGAACCAAAGGATGAACGATTGTACCAGAAGGGGGGTAAATGCCCTAAGGGTAAAAAGTATGGCACCAAAAGTGACCCATACAAACAGGGATCCCACAGGGAACCCCAAAAGGGGGATACTGTTTCCCCATCACGTCAGGCTGAACAGCCTGAGATGAAAAAGAAACAGCAGCAGGTCCAGAAAAAGAACCGCAATCCTCTGATCTCGGACAAGACACATAGTTGTTGGACTTGTTGGATGGTGTTGCCACGGACAAACAACCTAAGGCTTTGTTTGGCGATATCGTTGCTGATAAGTCAGAGCACACAGACAACACAGTTACTGCTGTCACAGACAGTCACCATGATGCTGTTGTTGTAAACTCTGTAACGCCCTCACCTGAGATGGGGGGGGGGGGTTACAATCACACGTCACCGATGGTAACCCGTCACAAACTGAAACCTCAGCAGCAACAATAGCTGTGTTAACGGTCCAGGGTGACACAAACAACAACGTTGCCGCTGTCTCAGACAGCCACCAGAACTTTGTTACAAACAAAGAGAGCACCTCAACACACAGTGTGGGGGTGATCTCATACATCAATGACGGAAGCCCGTCAAAAGCTGAACTCTCAGGAGCAGCAGCAACTGCACCAACGGTTCGGACTCTACCGGTGGACCCATCTCTGACTGAACAAGAGAGCTTCCTCTGCGAGCTGAAACAGTCAGGGCCCACCAAATACTACCTACCATTGGTAGTTCAAGGTGTAGAGATCCAAAGATCCCACACCAAAGATGCTGTACTGTCGTCGGGGACAGATAAACCAGCTATTAAGGACGGAACCATGGACGGTCCTCAGAGGTCCTCTGACCCCTCCTGGCTGCTCGCAACTCTGCTAGTACAACCTACAGCCGAGGTAATGGCAGTCACACATGCACAGGCTACAGCCAAGCCGGCTGACAACACAGTCTCTGTACAACCAGTGCTGACTGACCCAGACATCATCCAACTTCAGAAGTTGGGTCCTGCAATAAACTCGATGATGCTGTCTTTGACTGACCCAGAGAAAAACACTCCGCCCGAAGCCAACCTGGATTCCAATCCAGGCCTTAAAGTCCTCTTTCAGCTGCGCAATCAGCTAAAACTACTCAAGTGCAACCTAACTTTAGCTCATGGAGCGACGTCCTCACACGTGTTTGTGGTCCCCCGTGACCGAAGGGAGGTGACGTTGGTTAGGGTAATGTTACCAGACGCGATAATGTGATCAAATCTGACATTCAGAGTGAGTGACGCACCGAAACGTCATTTTCTAGTTGCTTAATCACTACTTTTGTCAATGTTGAAACGTTGTTTTACTGGTTGCTTAGTCACTGTTTTTGTCGATGTTGAGACATCGTTTAATTGGTTTTTGGTATTGTTTCCGAGCACCCCAAGCAAGAATGAATTTTGTGTGTTAGAGACTAAGAGGACTTTAACTATGCCAACATGCAGTTCATTTGTTAAAATGCAATCTTTGCGGAGTCAATGTAGATTAATGCTACCTTAAGTACCATAATCTACATTGGTCTCACAACGCTTAAGCCGAACCTACTCAAACAATCCTATTCCTATTGGGGGGGGGGGGGGGGGGGGAATATCTTTCATTTGGGTCTCCCCATAGACCCCAAAACATTTAGGGGAAAACCAAAAAAAACAAACCTCAAGTCGTTCGTCTAAAAGGACAACAGACAATTGAACCAAACTATATTTTGCCATGTAAATCTAACTTAAACCAAGTTAGGGATGGAAAAATAGTTTGGAATGCCCTTCTATAGGTATAAATCCCTATATGAAAATTTTTCAGCATGACCCACCCTTTAAACTGGTAACTTTAGCTGATCTAAAATTGATTATTATATACCATCTAAAATGCTGCATATTCATTTTTACACGTTTAGCGTAGTTTTATTTTTTGGGTGAGGTTAACAGTAGAGTTACCTCATTCCATTCGAGCAGGTAGTTTGTGATTTTGGATCCGTTGTCAACTGGGGGCTGTGGATGGAAGAACAATGGGACAAGTGAAGGAGAAAAGACAAGATAGATTGGATGGGTCAGGGATGATGGTCTCTGATGATGAGGCTGGAAGAGAACAATATTCAACAGAGAACAAAACAAAACACCTGTTATGTTTTTGAGATAAAGTCTTGTGTGAGGGAATGATATGACACTAAGGTGGTAGTGCGTGGAAAAGATTTTGTGTATGTGAGGTCAAAGAGAAAAGGCCCTGATGTGTTGTGCAAGAAAGAAAGAACGTTTCAAAGACAAACCAGGTGAAATCCTAAACCCCAGGTTAACTTTCTGTATAGATTTGTGTTCCACTCCATAACAATCAAGAGCATTCAAAGTAAAATGAATCAGAGTGACATCAAATGCATTGTTTTTTTAATGTTAGCATAAAAAGAGTTGTACCTTCCACTGTAGACTGAGGCTGCCCTTGGTGCGATGAGTGAGTTTTGGGGGTAGTGGGACATCAGGAACACTGCAAAGTGTAGTGAATGTGCCAGGTTCTGAACATGAACCTCGAACAGAATTGTAAGACGCCGACACCCTGACAAAGAAAAGTATTAATATTAATAATTCAATAATTCATAAAGGATATTAAGCAACTGGATTTTAAGCAACATTCATGATTGCTGATTCTGCACAGCTTGAAGCGAAAAGTGAAATTCAAACAAGCGGTACACCTATACATGTACATTGTTGGATTTCATATTTTTATACCTTTTTATATTTCCTATCAAGCATCCAAATGTCATGTTATACAAAGTGTGTGCATGTCTTTCTTCAAGGGTTGAACTATATTTATAGAAAATGTTTACTAATTCTAACTATTTTACCTTTACATATAATCTCATATTAGCTAATGATAACTTTACAAGTTCACATTTGATATATTACAAGCAATCAAATAAGCCAGGAGGCAGGTAAGATACTGACTACTGACTAACTCAGGAGGGAAGAGTCCTTTGTTCTCTGAGCACATGGTGGCCTGGCCGCTCACACACACTGATTAACATAAATAAAAGCTAGAACACATTTCTTTAATTTAGACTTAATATAGTTGGACTAAGTAAAATCCCTCAGGGTCTCTCTTAATAATAATTCATGATTAGATACTCCCCAACAGAGTGTTAACAGTCTAAACGCAGACAAGGAAACAAAGCGTCATATTATGTATCTGCCTTAAAGCAGAGAAACACCAGGTTCTGGGGGCCTTCAACAGACTTATTGATTAACACATACACATAAGGTAGGTAATAATTAATAGTGATTAATTATTCGTGTAGCAATCATGACACACTAATTACCAATAAAGCAGACACACATTAACATGAACAAAGAACCTGATTTTAGAGAGACCAGGGTATCATAAAACTTATCTCTGGAATGCAGTAAGAAAGGGGCCTTGAGGGGGCAGGCTAGACCCGTAACCATAGCAACCTAGGGTCTAAACCAATCAGAAAAGCTAGCCTTCTCAAACTTTGATAAAAGCCAGGCATAACACACGCCCAGCGAGCATTTCCGGGGAAGCACAGACCGAGAGGGTTCGTTCTTTAATGCTCCAAATATATGCATATATTTAACAAATGTAAATGTTTGTCTCTGAATATCTGTAACTCCTGTTTGTCAAATAAATCTTTTGAACTAAGGTGACCGTCTCAGCTGTCTTGAACACGATTGTTGAAAAGTCACAACAGATGGTGACCCCGACGTGATGCTGGTGGATGCACGGATTGGATCGAGTTGGTGATGGACACCCGCAGAGCAAACTGGGCCCGTTATCTTCTACTAACAGGTAAGCGGGTTACCTAAGTTGGCCGTAAGGCCCAAAAACTCAGCTATTCGGCCGTAAACCAAATTTAATCTTCCTCTGTGGGTGTTTAATACCATCTCCGGAAATAAAGATGGTTTATTTAAGCTAACGGCTAACTTCCGGTGATTTGTGTTAATTCTGACGAAGTGGGTTACGATATTCAGAGAGTCTAAGCGCCGAACGCTTTCTTTGACGTTTAAGTAGTGTTTTAGTTAGTTTCACGAGTTGGACTCATGCCGGAGGAAGGTCAGGGACCTGCCGGGGTTCGCGTCGGACGTGAACAACATTTCCCTTTTTTCAGGGGTGGTGGCGTACAGGCCGTCCCTCTGACGAGAGAGACGGGAACCGGGTCGGGGACCCGCAGCTACGTTTGCGTCTGCGTTGTGGGTGTTGACTGCCCACTAAAAAGACGCCATTAATAGTTTAGTTTAAAGGGAAATGTGAAAGTCTGAGACTTAGGTAGATTTGCCATATTTCATGTGGTCAGGGATCACATTAGTTTAGGACGTTGTAATAACTTTTGTTTGCGCCGTGTTTTCTATGTTGTGTAAAGGCTTCAAGGCCGGAGGGGTTGAGGTAGACAAAACAAAACGAAAAAAAAAGAAAAAAGAGGGGGAGTGAGCATGTCTGAGTCTGTGTGTGGGGGCGAAGCGAAGGGTTAGTTTTTTTTTTTTCTTTTTTCTGTGTGTGTGTCTGTTCAGATAGGTGGTGAGTGGAGCTTCCATATCCTAACCGAAAGGGGGCACTGTTGTATAAGGCAAGGACAAGTCTGGACTCTGGGTTTTCATACCACAGACTTGTGAATTGTTTTGTCACAACGGGGCCAGAAGTGCACGAGAATAAAAAGATTTGAAAGCCTGAGTGTGTGAATGTTGTCATCAGGTGTGGAACTCATAAATGAGAAACATGTGACTCCTATGGAAAGTCTATAGGATCAATACATGAGTTAAGAGCATAATGGTGAACAATCTAAAAGATATGGAACAATTTTGAATATGAAATAAGTATAAACGCGCACAAAAGATGGGAATTATCTAAAAAAGAGGCAATTAACTGAAAAACCAGCAGACCAATAGCTAAAACAAGCAGAAATAATCTTAAATTACCAGAAGTAAGTGGGTAGAGCTTGGTTTTCCTGAATTAGGCTGTAAAAGTTGGACTAATTTAAAAGAAAGATGGAATTAGCTGATATTGGCATGAAACAGCTAAATAGTATCTGAAATGTAAGCAGAAATATCTGAATCTTCCAAACATTAGCTGAAAGGAGCACAATGTTCAGAAATTAGCAGAAATAAGTCAGTAGAAGTACAAAAACGTTGAAGTAAGCTGAATATAGCTGAAAAGAGGGAGGAAGACGGACTCTGTTGTAATACATTCCGCGTGAGAAGGAACGAGGTGATGGATGGACAGACTGTCAGACGGAGTTGTGGAAAACACCAAGTTAAGACCAAACGTGGGTGAGGTCAGGAATATCAGTAGTCCGATAGGCAAACAAACCACACTGTTTAATAAGGGTTCATTCATGGGAACAGTGGAGGAGACAGGAGGTGCTTGGAGGTGGTACATTATCAGGCAGGCTGGGAAGCAGCCTGACAGGTGGTCAGATGATGGACCAGGTAAAACAAGGGTGAGCAGAGAGGAGGTCGTTGGCTGAACATTTTTAATGCTCTCATTTTAGGGGTGATCTGGGCAGGAGGAGAGCTGAACGCCATTTTCAGTCACTGAACGTTGGGAGAGAAACGTAATACATCGTTTAAACTAGGAGAAATGTAATACATCGTTTAAACTAAAAAAAAAACAAAAAAAAACAGAAAGATAGAGGCAGCGGAAATAGACAATATGGGGACGCAGTTGATTAAACCACAGCTGTCGGAGGCCAGACATAAACAGGGGGATAAGAGAGCAAGGTAAAAAAAACAAAAAAAAAACATTTGTGTGTTCAATCAGTGTCAGAGGTAAAGGAGGAGGCAGGGACCTCTGGAACAGTTGATCTGCAGCAATGGTTTGAAACTCAAGGCCAGAGGGCCAGAGGGCCAGAGGGGGACATCCCGTGTACGAGCGGTAATTAACCGAATTTATACGAGAGATGGAGTCAGAGGGAGTCAGTTGGAGGTATTGTTGGAACAGCTCGCTGTGTGGGAAGATGAAGATGGCAGACAGCCGCTCACTAAGCGGGCGAGGGACAGAGTTAAATGGACAACAAACGTACTGCACAGACATGCAAAGGTAGAGAGATGCTGACAGAGAGCTGCTGACATGATGCAGAGAAGGAAGGTAGATGTTTTAGGTGTCCAAGAGACCAAGTGGAAGAGCAGCAAGGCTCGCAGCATTGGTGCTGGGTTCAAACTGTTTTATCAGGGTGTAGATAGAAAGAGAAATGGAGTAGGGGTGGTCCTGAAGGAAGTGAGGAGTAGGTCTGACACAAAGAGGAGGTATAGGGTGAATGCTGTTGGAGAGGACATGGAGGTAGTTGGAGTGAGGACATAGGGTGCATAGGAAAGAGTGGAGTGAAGGAGGATGATTCGCTGTGGCGACTTCTGAAAAGGGAAAAGCCGAAGGAAGAAGGAGAAATAAACATCATAAACAGGTCAAATTAAGTTTAAGCATTTCTGGATGACACATTGTAAACAAATTAGCCAAAATTTCTTCTTGGAATTGACAATAAAATCAGGTTAAAAATTCAACTAAAAAACAACAAATTGAAAAATAAGTAATAAACAAAATCCTTGACACTTGTAAAATGTAGGAAAAAATTTATTCTGGTCAAAGAAACTCTTAACTAAACTCAAATTGAAATACTTGGGTTAAATTAATCAGTCTTAACTAAACTCAAATTGAAATGCTTGGGTTAAATTAATCAGTCTAAATGATTTAATCACATATTGAAAATGTTGTCTAGAGTTTAGGAGCTGTTTCCTTCTAAGAGCTACCTGAACTAGGTTATTTATGTGAAAACAACAATTGTAGTGGGTAAATGAAATGACTTTAAACATCTTGAGATTTCACACAGGTCCTATGAGTGCATAAGGAGAACAGAGATGAGTACATGGTGAGTTAAAGAAGTTGTGCTTTGTGAACAAAGGTGCATGTAGACGTTTTTGTGCAGTGATAATGGTCTCTGTGATGTCTTGAAGTGTAGACATAGTCTTAATTGAATAGAATTAGAAGAATTTTGTTTAGGATACAGTGAACAAGCATAGTTATGAGATGGAAGAATTTGCAGATTTGGTATATAACAAGCAGTGATTACATATAACCATGCTGCCTAAACCTTTACAAAGTCTAAATGGATAATGTAGACCTGAGAGTGGTCCTCACTGTCAGGTGGTGAGTCAAAACGCAATATTCTAAAAGATTGAAGACATTATTTTGAATGGAATATTTTATGCAGTAGGCGTAAAGAATTGGATTGTGCAGTGTTTGATGAAAGTTTCACTCTTATGTAATTGAGCATTTAAAACATCTGTTGTGCAATCCAGGAGACCAGAATGACTCTGTTGAAGGTAAACACTGTGGTCCCAGAATAGAACTTGCTAACAGAGGATTAATGTTGATAACAGATGCTTAATGTTGAATCAGGCTTTTAATAATTGGATTGTTTATTTTTCCTTCTCAGCAGCCTAAGAAGACAGAGCTGTGGATTGGGGAGGTGAGTCTGGCTAGGCCCACAGAACACATACAGGTAGTCTTCAGATACATACAGCATCCATCTGAGTTTTGATCATGACCCTCTAGTGCTGGGTGCCGGATCGGATACCAGATGTGTTCAGGTGGACGCTGAAGTTGGGTCTGGGAAACTGACCAATGGGACGTTTCAAAGAAACTGTCAGTCGAGCACCACTGACACAACAACAAAGAGATTGTCAGCCAAACAATATGACTTTTCACTATGGAAACAAAGCAAAGATCTATCAGTCCAACAACAAACTGAATTAACTGACCAGAGGGGGTCCTGGATTTTGTCAACAGCGGGAACATCCAGTCAAGTCTCGCTGTATGCTGAGCTATGAACTGCTGCACAAAGCTGAACTGGTCTCCAGACCAAGGGAGACAAACTGAAGACAGAAAGGCTGAAAGAAAAGCTGGTGGTCCATCTGTCCAAGGTCACTAACATCAACTGCAGCCTGACGGAGGTGTCAACCCCACATTTGGTCTGTGATAGTCATCCG